GTGGAGTTTTTCATTGGAATCTGGGCTGCCATGTGGCTCTGCATGATGCAGCCTTGCAAATGTTGCTATGGCAATCCATCATAACAGGTGAGCATTTTCCAACCAGAAGGATCAAGAACTAATTTTTCAATATTACACGACACCTCCAATTGAAGTCACACCCTTTTATTTTGAAGTATGGTTTTTGGAATTTAGAAAAAGTAAGATAATATTTTCAATATTTTCAGAGGAAGCCACACAAGCCTAACTGATTTTCGTGTGAGACTATACTTTCCAGGTCGCACTGGAATTTGTTTTCTGGACGGAGGACAATCCTGGTACCGGGAGGAAAACCCTTTAACAAAGAGAGAACCAACAACAAACTCAACCCATAATGGCACCAGGCCAGGATCGAACCCGGGGCACATTAGTGAGGGTGGCGAGAGCCCTCACCACTTGGCCTTTTCGGCCTCTTCAACTCCATGTCTTCTTTCTTGAATGATATATTTCTTTTCTTAGGGTTCAGACTTGCATAGTGTCATGTCTGGTTCGTCCATTAGCCAGGCACGTGGTGGTGTTCCTGTGGCCGTTCAAATACAAGGTGGTGGTGGTATGGGTGGGGCCCAAACTGGGGCACAGGGATATCAACCTCAAACGGTCCTGGCAGCTGCTTCCGGAATGGTTGGCAGTCAAAGTCAGTGTGTTCAAGATACCATATCTGGAGCTATGGCAACAGACCTTCAGCTGACTGAGGTGCGTCCGTCCTATGGACAGGGAAACCACATGCCACTGGAAAATGAACAGATACCTAAGCCATTATATTGGTACTTGTTACTGGTATACTAATCCTTATTATCAACGCGTTAGTTTTCAGTAAACTTTATTATTGCTCTTAAGTTTGGAGCAATACTTCACAATCTAACATTACCAAACTCCAGACTGTTCAAAATTTTGCCAGTAGAATATTAGCGGGTCTAAGAAGTATAATCATGTTGCTCCCATTCTCAGGAAACTCAACTGGCTCCCCCTGAAACAACATTTGTATTATCGTGATTCAATCATGGCATTCTAATGCATGAATGGCCTTGTCCCGAGGTGTCTATCTGATCAGTTTATTGAGCTTTCATCAATATCAAAACGCAACATTAGAAATTAACAGCTGCTAAATATTCCGTTATTTAGCACTGCAACTGGCCAAAGAACTTTTTTACTATCGTATTGTATCTCTCTGGAACGCTTTGCCGCACAATATTAAGTCACGTCCATCGCTAGCCCATTTTATGACCAAAAAAAGGAAAAGACTCTTAATGCATAACTGTGAGGCTGATAGTTTGTTACCTAGCAAGAAATAGCTTAATTACTCTGATTTTTTAGTTCCTGTTAGATTAGAATCCTGTAGTGCTTTTTTAATCTTAAATTTTACTTGTAGAGACCTACTTTTATTGTACTTTTGTTCAGTTTGTTGTACATTTCACTGAAACGCCTCATGGGGACGTGGAATAGACGTATATATGTATACAGTATGACTACACGATTTCGAAGCCAAATGGATGTATGCAGAGTAGTAGATATTTGGGACTGAATCACTTAAGATGGAGAGACTGATAGTTTAAAAACAACCAATTTATTCTTGTGACTTATGGAACACTTTTTGCTCACTGGTGTAGTTTTTATCAGTTGCGTCATGGTAAGGACAAAATAACTAAACATTTTTCAGAAATGTTTCTACCTGCTAACGATTAAAGTGTTCACCTCGTTATGTAACGGCTTTATACATTTCCTCGACGTGTTGTGTAAACCTTTTGTACGTCAATTGAAAGCAAATTTGTTTTAATTTTGCTCTTTTTTGCCAATTCCAGTGAAGACTGGGTGTGCAAACAAGTTCCTTAGTTAGGTAGACACCATAGACGTGGCCAGATAGACGTAAAGGAAAATTAAATATCAAAAAAACAGATTAAGATATCAAGAATAATTTTTTAGCTGCTTTTCACTTCCGTTGTATATTTCTTTCGTATATAGCGAAGGCAGAGATAAAAGAGATCTAAGCCTTAATTGCTTCGCTGTTTTTAAACCTGCAAAATAAACAGTTAGGACGTATACTGCATTAGTCAAGAATGACATCACAAAACCATGTAATAGAAACTTTTTAACCTCAGCACCAGTTGCTT